GTGTCTGCATCACGAAGGGCAGACAAGGTCTGCATAAGGCCGGGGTGGGGTCCGCGGGAGGGTTATCCTCTTCCTTTACCTCTGTAGTACACGCCCTGAACGCGGCCCGAGACAAAGATGTGCGCCCTCGAGAGCCTCGCCGTGGCTTTGCTCATGCGTCTGTGCTGAGACCTGAGTGCTGTGACGCGAGAGCCGAGTTTCCCTCGGGGGGGGAGAGAGAGACGCCAAGCGCGACCGCGCTGACCAGGGCGAAGATGAGTTAGTTCTCGGTGCGTCGCTCACCGCGCGGCTGGCGCCTGGCGGCGCCGCTGCGCCCGACTTCTGTTTCTTTCTTTTCCGCCCAACCGCCAACAAAAGACTCCCAATTTAGTCACGTTTTCTCACAACACTAGGCACCACACTCCTCTCTCTCCTTAAAATCCCTGTGTGGAGTGTGGTGGCGGCGTGCCGTCCTCCCATCCCTCCCTTGGGTGGTCTGTTTTCTTTCTTTCTTTCTTTCAACACTATTCTTTCAACACACTAGGCACGGGACTGGCGCGCAAGAAGAAGAGAATTTTACGGCCGTGTGGCGCGCACTGAAGAAAAGAATTCCCGGTCTGAGCACTGGGTGAACCTTCTTTTGACTAGTGAATTACTCGCAATCCTAGATAGATTTCGAAGGCTTGTGAGCGACACTCCTCGCAATCGTAGCATCTCTGTACGATTGCTATAGCACCTACGCTCCGCAATCCTACATCTTCTAGGACCTTAGGGGACCCCTAGGCTTAATAAAAGGGTGGGCCCTGGGGCGCCTGCGGCTTAAACGGCTTAAAACTTGCCCGGGCAAGTTTTAAGAGCTGCTGAGCCATAACAGCGATGGAGGTGTTATGAGGTGTTATGAGGTGTTATGGGGTGTTATGAGCAGCCAGCCATAACAGCCATAACACCTGTTATGGCCGCTCCCATAACCTTGAAGAAGGTAGTCGACAAGCTGCCGAGCGCAAATCACTCTGTGTGACACATTTCTTGTTGGCTTCTAAAAATCTCTCTAACCTTGTCTGGGGACAACTGCGGCGCGCCGTGGTTTCTTAGATTTTTGCGGAAATCGCTTGGTAGGGTTTCTTCACCGACGTTTTCTTAATGCCCGCAACCCACTGTAAGGGCGTAGAAGAGGTCTACGCCCTTAAGATGCACTTGGAGCACTTGGAGTGCAGTCAGTAACCTCACATCCAGGGCCGGGGAGCTGAGAAGCGCACCCAGCGGGCCGGATGATCGGGATCGGGCTACGGGCTAGAGAGCCCTGACCCCTAGCTAGGGGGGTGCGCGTTCGCAGGGAAAGGGCCGGAAAGACGTTTCTCCGAGGGTTGGTCTGCGCTGATGAAGTGGCGATTCCGCGTCGGTCAGCGCCGCATCTCCCTTTGGTCGTGAGCTTTTGCCGCCTTGGCATGGGCGGTGCCGCGTCGGAGCAAGCTTGCTCCCTGCAGCTGTCCCAGGCAATTGCAGGCTGCCTGTCTGTGGTGCCTTCTCCCAGTTGGGTTCCGCAGACGCCCAAGCGGCCTGTGCCAAAGTCTCCGATGCTGCCGCCTTCGGCGCCGCTTCGCAAGGCTGATTTCGCTGAGCGGACCAGGCCGGCGGCGACCTTGTTCCGCCCAATCACTGCCGCGGCGGAAGGAATCTGACCTCAGAACAGGCAACTTCAGTGCAAATCAGACTTATTTCAGGGGCCTTCGCTTTCCGTCGGCGTAGCAAGTAGAAGTACGGTAGTGCCGATGCAGGCAGCATGTGGTCGCATGTTTTATACACACGGCCCTTGTGTGTTATGTACACACGGCCCGCACGCGCCGCGCTGTTCTCGACTCTCGTGTTGGCGATGCCCTTGAGGCGCTGCTGCAGCTTTGCGCGGCTTGATTTTACGGTTTTATGATCTCTCCATTACCGCCTTTGGCCATGATCGGACAGAGAACAGGGACGAGGGGCACTGAGCGTAGGCTCTCCGGTGGCCTAACCCGCGCGCGCGATCCCAGGACCCAGCGGACCCGCCCCAAAACGCGCCGCCCCCGCTCTCCTCCCCCGGGTGCGCCGGGCCCTCCCCACCACACCGGGCCCCTCTAAACACCCCCCGGCCCTCTCACACACGCCACTCCGCGCCGCTGCTCACGCCTCGGAGATGGCGTACGACATCGCCTGGTAGACCTCGACGCCGATCTCCGCCTCGGACTTGACCATGTCGTCGGTCGCCTGGGGAAAGGCCTCGGGCGGGTCTCGGGCGGGTCTCGGGCGGGTCTCGGGCGGGTATCAGAGGGGCTCGGGAGGGGCTCGGGTGGGTCTCGGGAGGTTCCGAGACGGCTCCGAAGGTTCCAAGAAAGCTCCGAGGCAGCTCCCCGCAGGTTCCGAGAGGGGCCCCTGCTCAACCCTGGGGCGCGGCGCGCCTTTTCGTATGCCGCCTGGTACTGCGCCAGGCCCGTCTTGATTGCGTCCGCGTCGAGCTCCTCGAGCGGCGCCGCCATCAGCGTCGACACGGCAAGCTTGGAGTCCTCCCCGATGGAGGCGAAGCCGCCAGAGACAAAGTACCTGCGCCGCACACGGGCGTGACACAGCCTCGCACGCGGCGCAAACGGAGGGGGTGTCTGAGGGTCTGTGCAGAGACGCCGCTCACGGCCCGGGCCAATGTCGATTCCAGGTCGATGTCAACGGCAGAGCCGACGCCGGCTCGTCTCAGGTAGCGAGTGGCGGCGGAGCTGCGGCTGATCTCGGCTGATCTCGGCTGATCTCGGCTGATCTCGGCTGAGGTCTCGGCTATCTCGGCTGATCTCGGCTGAGGTCTCGGCTATCTCGCACTTGGTCAGTGGCCCGCCCGCCGCCTCCTGAACCGACACCACGCCCGGCTTGAGCTCGGCGATGGTCGGGACCTAGGATTGAGAAGAATGAATAAGTAATTAGGCGATGGTCGGGGCCTGGCACAGCTTGTGGGAGATTTTGGGAGCTTGTGGGAGATTGTGGGAGATTGTGGGAGATTGTGGGAGATTGTGGGCGATGGCCGGGACCTGGCACAGCGGGAGAGGCGGTGAGGGCAGTGGACGGCGGCGCGACGGCGGCGGTGATGGTGAGGGCGGCGGCGGCGGAAGGGGTGGAGGGGGCTCGACCACACACGGCCAGAGGCGTGAAGAGGCCGCTGGCTCGCGGTTGTGGAGGGGGCTGGGAGCCGGGGGCGGGTAGCGATCATGTGGGGAGGGGGGGGGGGGGGGAGCCTTGGCTCACAAGGCGGCGGTGGCTGGACTCCAGGCGGGGGCAGAGGCTTGTCCGTGTGTCTGTGTGTGCTCCGGTGAGACCGTCTCTCCGTCTCGGTGCCTCTCCCCCCTCCCCTACCGCGTCGGTGTCCCAGGCTGGCTGCAGTCTCGCCGCTCCCTGTCTTGTCTGCCCATCGGTCTGTGGCGGGCACATTCTCTCTGTCTAGTTGTGGCACATGGTTGGGCATCACGCCAAAATGGCCGCCCCCGCCGGGGAGGATCACCATCTCCCCCTGGGGGGGGGGGGGGGGGGGTTT